CAAAAATGTATGCCGTCGAGATGGTTATCATGTGAGAACGATAACGCTTATGTCGTATCCGTAGATTGTATCCTCAATCCGAACAATTATTCTTTTTTGTTCGACCTATTGACAAACTTGTTATGTAATGCTTTGATGTCACCTTTAGCATGTAATGACCGAGCCCCATTCATGCTGTTATTCCTAGTTTCGAGAAAGTTATTCGTCTTAACTTTCCTCTGATCCGACTCTCATGATCTTCGTGCATCAAAGCTTAAAAAGTCTTTCCTATGTATTCCTCATCCATGTGATCATCGAGGAACGAGAAATCTGCAATTCTTTCCCCGATACTATTTCCGAAGAATTCTTGAGAATTCTTTCCGAAAGCGTAGTCAAGTCTCGCATCGACTTAAATCCCTGGAATTACCTCGTAGCCAAAACCTTAGTATGGATGATGTGTTCAAGACAGAAACCAGGACTTGATACAATCACTACGAGATTGTAGTAGTGCCCTTTGGTCGAATCATTTTCCTTGATCATGTAATAAACAAAACAGCCATACCCGTGGGCCTATAACCCACAGGTCCCAGAAATCTCTTTCAGGACCATCGGACCCTTAGCTACTCTACCACATGAAGATGTGCCCTCTTGTTGGAAGTCTTACTCTAGAAAGACATAGTACGCCTTGAGAAGTGCGGAAAACTTGACTCGTGGAACATTAGACCCTTCGAGATCCTCTTTAGGAATCGATTCCATAGCCCTCTCCAAGCTATCTTCAGAACTCAGCAGCAACCATATGGTATTCCACATCTTTGATAGTAAGGATTGTCAACTTGACGAAAACCATAGAAATCCCTTGATGAGATCGAAACCAATGGAAGTCCGAACCTTCATGGATGAATCAATTAAGATCATGGATTGATCGGTTGACCGTTCAAAGCATAGCCACATCCTGACAGTGAGGGTTCGCTAAAATGTCAAACGGAGACCCTATTTCCACTTAGGAGCATGAGGACCCGAAGCAGTAAATTCATCCTCATATCTCTTTTCACTTCGTGATCTGTGTTCGAATCTTTGAATTTCAGGACGAAATTCCCTCTAACGGGGGGATAATGTAACAACCCGAAATTCATATCACTGCTTATAACCCTTTTCGTAACTCATTCCGATCAACCAATCGTCATTTTCAAATTCGTTTCCGATTTCATCAATTAATTAAGTCATTAAATGGAAATGATCTAAAATGACTTAATGAGTGTCCTAATACATTTAGAAATCATTTTATCACCTCATATTAGTGATCAGAACATTTCTAGAATCAACCACATCGAGTTACGGCAACTTAATCGCGTGCGACCAAATGCTCCGTCTAACACTGGTATCGGGTATAATAGCTCCGTGTCCAAGTTTTGGGACCTATTTAAATGTGTTTAAACATTCATTTGAAGCTTTTGCTTCCTCTCTCTACTCTCTCTCTAACCTCTCTTATAAATCCAAGTTTAAGGGTCCAAATCATCAATTTGAGGCTTCAAATCTTTGAGGTAACTTCCCTAACTTGTTATACAACCCCTCTAGCCTTCAAATTTGAGTTTAAACCATGGAATAGGACCATAAACCTATGTTTACGGCCCTGGAACAGCCTTAGGCCGTGAACACATGAAAAGGGGGTTTTTGAGCAACAAAACCCTTCCAAACCACAACTAGACTTTAGATATGGCTAAATGATTTCATGAAATGGACCTAGAACACCTTAGACATAGATTTTGAGGGATTTACATGAGTTTACGGCCAAGACATATGCTTGGGCCGTAAACCCCTCAAACATGGGTGTAAACACATTCCAAACATGTTAGAAAGCCATCCAACACCACCAAAAGCCTTGGAATAAATCATAGAACCAACCAAAAATAGTTTGGGGACCTTAAACATAACAAAACTCTTCATTTGAGAGTTTACGGCCATAGCATGTGCTCCAAGGCCGTAAACTCCTAAAAATGTGTTATTTGATGCCCTAAATTCATACCAAGGCTTGTAAAAATTATTGGAATCACATGTGATTAATCTAAAGCCATTAAATCATCGGTCTATGGGGGTATAGGAGTTTATGGCTGTAAACTCCATGTTTAGGGCCGTAAATTCCCTTAAGTGTTGTTATTGGTGATTTAAATTCATTCCATGCCTTAAATAAAATTGTTCCAACCCTTCCCCAAGTGTTATTAACCCATTAAGCACCATAAATCTTGTCAACATGAGTTCACGACCGTGAACTCATGTGTGAGTGGTGTATATGGCCGAAAACTCATTAGGAAGTTTACTCTTGAAGAGTAAACTCAAATCCCAAGTCCCTCGCATCAATACACGTCCGTAGATGTCACCCGGGTCACTCCAAACACTTGTTTTGAAGTGTTTTCGCTCACTGGAGTGTAATATCCTATCTAATTAGAGTTTATAAATCGAATTAGCTATATTTGTATACCATTTTGTATTAAATAGGAATCTTGTGCGTTTGTAAACCTAGAACCGACATTTAGGATCCAAACCGACACGCTCTTCAACCGGTGAGTTCATACCCCTACCCTTTTTTCAATGGGTTTTAAATGTTTTCAGGGGGGAATGCAAGAAAAAGTACAAGGATATATTGTACTTAAATTCATTATTTCATTTTAAATGGTTTCATTCTCACACTTTTAAGAATTGAAAACTTACTAACAAACTGTTTTAATTCACAGAGTTGTTTATTCAAACCGATTTTCAATTCTTATTATATAATGTTATGTTGTATACTTTACAATTGATTGTTCACACTTATATTGATTGAGATTATAAATCATATGTAAAGTCTGTAATAAAAAACCCTAGGCATGAGTATAAAAGATAGACACCATTAGAAAATATAAATCAATCGTAATGTCCTTAATAACACACCTAGGCTCGAGTGTAAAGGACAAACACTTTTAGAATACATAAAACATTGTAATGTCCTTAATAAAACACCTAGGCTCGAGTGTAAAGGACAAGATCCATTAGAAGTTAGGTAGTCATAGGTACTACTTCCCTAGGAACGAGAAGTAAAGGGAAATCTTAAAGATTGGAGACACGTCCTCTGTAACACTTCCTTGGCTCGAGAGAGTGGAGGACTACCCCTATAACCAGAATCTCCGAAGGTAAGAGAGCGTGGCTTGAGTGTATAGATCTATACAGGACTGAAAATCCCACACCTGACTGCTAGCTACAGCCGAACCGAAAGGTTCAAGGGTGACGAAAGTCATAAAAAGGATACTGGCCCTGGCCCGAGTCATATCTAGTCTGAAGTATAGTTAAGGACTCGCAATCAAGATTATTAACAATTTACACTTATTTATTAGTTTTATGTATGTAATAAAACTAATATACATTTAAGGATAATCGAAATCGGTAATAGTTCACACACACGCATTCAAGAAAACATGGGGTTTTCCTGGGGATAACATTGAACATAATCAGAATTGGTAACAGTTCACACACACACATTCAGGAAAACATGGGTTTTCCTGGGGATAACATTGAACATAATCAGAATCGGTAACAGTTCACACACACACATTCAAGAAAACATGGGGTTTTCCTGGGGATAACATTGAACATAATTGGAATCGGTAACAACTCACACACCCACACATTCAGGAAAACATGGGGTTTTCCTGGGGATAACATTGAACATAATCGAAATCGGTAACAGTTCGTACACATAGAATCGGTAATAGTACACACATACACATGTAGGAAAATATAGGATTCTTCTGAGTAATCGTAGTACATAACCAGAAAAGTGTGACAAGTTAAATAACTAAACTTTACAATTCATAAGAACAATCATATTTTCATTATACATCTTTTACATTACAATTTGGATTTGGTAAACATTACTTTTAAGAAAATATGGGATTTTCTTGGATAACCGCTTTTCAGGAAACCAAAGGAACTCGTAAAACTTTCAGAAAACTAACCGCTTATGAACTCACCAGCTTTATGCTGATTTTCAAACCGCTTGTATTCTCAGGTCCGCATTAGACAGGTACCCGACGATCACTTTCAGAAAACTAACCGCTTATGAACTCACCAGCTTTATGCTGATTTTCAAACCGCTTGTATTCTCAGGTCCGCATTAGACAGGTACCCGACGATCACTTTTGGCGAAGACGGAGTACGTAGTAGACTCATCTCATTTTGTTCATATATGCTATGTATCACACTAGTACAATTTACTTTTGAAACAAATGTAAACTTTTATATATGTAATGTAATGGTTTTCTACTTTCACTACTAGAAAAACAGCCTTTTACGACGCTCATTGCGCATCGTAAAGGGCTCAGACGACGCTCAAATGCGCGTCAAGGAAGGCCCTGTCATAAAGAGAGACGACGCGCATTTACGACGCGCAATTACGATGCGCAATGCGTATCAAGAAAGACCCTGTCATAAAGGAAGACGACAGGCATTCGCGTGTCATAACCTTACGACGCGCGTGTTAATGACACCTAATGCGTATCAAGAAAGCCCTTGTCAAGAAAGGCCATGTCATAAATGAAGACGACACACATTTTTGCGTATCAAAATTTTAAATGTTTAAAAAAAATTATTTATAGATGTACTAATTTTCAAATTAAATTTCCATTTCTTGTCTCATAATAAAAAATAAAATACCATATACAAAAAATATAATACATTGCACTTGTTAATGTCATAGAAATAATCATTCCAATAGTAGACAAATGGATAAATATCAAAGGGATCAAAAATATGTTTGTCTTCTAATAGAACTTATACACAAGAAAGTACTGAATTTGCTATTGAACTTATACATAAGAAGAAGGTGTTTGAATTCAAAAAATGTCTCAGCAACTGAATTGGCCCCAGAAGCTTGTAGTTTGACTGCAACTAAGATAAGGATACCATGTTTACTCTTCTTAAGCTTACTAAACAAGCTTGACAATAAGATAATATAAAATTGAATTATTATTAAGATTAAGCCACAGATATACTCAAGCTATATATACCAATGGTGATGGTCTTTCATCAGCTGCACGTGGAAACCCACTACCATAAACAGAAGTATCAAAAAACTACTTTATTCAAAAAAACTCAGATTACTATTGTAATCATAATAAAACACACCGATTATGTATAGTTTTATACAAGAAATGTTCCAGATCATTATTTTAGTAATAATGAATACGAGAGGATACATTACTTACTTTATACTGGAATAACTCATAGAGATCTTTTCTTAAGTTGTGATACAGTTCAGCCAATGAAGGTTCCATGAAGAACTCCAAGTATCCTCCCAACATTTTCAAGTGCCCATCCTGTTTCATATCATGAAATGGAATGGAATCAAAAAGGAATGGAGTAAGAAAAGGTAATAGACTCTCTATATCGCCTTTTGAGATGCTTCCACCAAACAGTAGCATGACGGAATCGGAAACAACAGTCATATCCAGGAGAAAAACAGAGTTCGCTTTGATCTTCTCATTAAAGACCAACCACGGGAATGGAATTCTCAAAGCCCGGGAATTAACCGAGTTCTATAGCATTAAAAAAACAAATTCAGATTAAAAAAACTACAAGAATTTAGAAAACCAAACTTACCGAGTGTAAAAGCACCTGACCATCCGCCACGGTTTTCAGCGAGAATGAATTTTCATTATGTTGATGTCAACAAAAGCGAGTTATTATTTATAAAGAAATTGTTTAAAAACAAAAGGGAAAATGACTTTTCCTTCTAAGAACTTATGTCATCCCACCTAATCATAAATACCATAACTACCCCTTGCTTTTCACTCCCACATATACTCAATAGTAGAAACTCAATGAGATTCAATCCCATGAATTCATGCAATCAGGATTCCAGCATCACATAGAATCCCATGTCTGTGGACTATAGCCTCTAAAGTCAGTGTACACAAGTAAATTCCAGTGGTCCTTTACAGTTCTCAGCTCATCCACTTGTGGTTTGCAACTGATCATGATTACTGACTGTAACAAAAAGAAAATTTTATATTTTTAACAAAGAGAGAGAAAAAGAGAACCTTTAGCAGCATCATATCCAAGGTCGGGGTTATCTTTCTCTAATAGTTTCCTAACAACAACAACACCCTCTACTCCTGCATTCGCAGCTACTGTGTACACCAGTGCCTTCACATACACAACCAATAAACAATAAAATGCCAGCAACAAAATAGATATACAATAAAACTACACTACTAGCTGCTTTTTAATAGGATGAAGGGGGGATTACCTTGAGAGCATTTTGAATTATTTGAACACCAATCTTCTGATCAAAATTAGCTGTAACAAGATTATCAAGCTCCTTTGAAGCATATAGAAGAGCAACACCACCACCTATATTATATTGTATATTTTTTGATATCATTATCACAATTAAAAATAAATACTTAGTAAATAGCATGTGTGGACATGATTTAATCAACCTGGCACAATTCCTTCTTCAACTGCAGCCTTTGTAGCATTTAGAGCATCAGTAACTCTATCCTTCTTCTCACCAACTTCAACTTAACTTGCTCCTCCAATCTGACCAATCACAGCAACACATCATTTACATAACAAAATTATTTAGAAATAAAACAAAAATAAGAATCGTCCCCTCAAAACGGCAACACCACCAGAAATTTTTGCTAATCTCTCTTGGAGCTTCTCCTTGTCATAATCAGAAGTGCTCAATTCAATTGATGATCTCAACTGTAGAAACACAAAATAGTACATGTTAGGAAGATTAGGTACATAAATTAAATATATTGTTAAAAAGCTATTGTAATACTTGTTCACATCTTTCTTCAATTCCTTTTTTGTCGCCAAGCCCATCAAGAATAATTGTGTCATCCTTGGATATTGTAAACCTAAATGTAAATATGTAATGTTCCAAACATTATTACCATATATTGCATACATAATCTATTTGGGCAAAATAGAGTTGTAGATGTAAAAAATAAATGCTTACCCTAAAATTGATAAAAAGGTGTGCAACTTAGGGGACTAAAGTTGATAAAAAGGTGTGCAACTCATGGGCCAAAATTGTATTTTACTCTAAAAAGTCATTGAAAAAGTTAAAACAAGGGCAAAACGATAATTTTAACAAGCTTACCTCATTAATTTATTTAGCTGGTTTCAGAAACGCACGCCAAATCCGTAGCCTGAAGGGGTCTTTTCTTAAAGGTCTAAAAGATTCATCCGGAAGAGCAGCTTTAATATCCACGAAATTTATTTTAAGAAACTGAAGAATTTCATAAGCTTTCCCAGTTAATTTTGGTAAAGACAAGTAGTTATTTCCGATTATACCCCCATGAACTTCACACGGTTTTTTTTTTCCAATTATACCCTCATTCTCACACTGATGAGTTGCTCATTAGTTGAAAATGTGTAGTGGCATGAAAAACAATGGTTTCAAGTAGGTCCCACTAATTCCAAGCACTCACACCGAAATATTTCCCCAAATTTCTATTCCATTTCTGCCCTTACATTTATGGAATGAACCAATGACCTGAACTAAAGTGCAAATTGACCCACAATGTGATCATCATTTAAATCATTGGATTTTTTCCTTTGCCATTTTTTAATGTTTTCTTTCAGTTGTTTCTCTTTTGCATCATCATCTTCCAGCCATTCATGTAGAGCCTCAATTTCACCATCTGATTCATAACAAACCCATGCACAAGAAGAGATTGTCACGATCACATCCTTCTTCACACTCACACCTGTCATAAAACAATAAAAAAAATTATAAATAAAATTTAATTATGTTTCATTTTCTACCATTAACAGCTTCCTAACATGTAAATGGAGACAAGACTCAAACAGAGAGATGAGGCTTCATGGTACACCCTTTACCCTTCCTTATATTAGTTATGCTTAAATGCAAATAAATAAATAAATAAATAAATAAAGCCTGGATCTGCTACTTTATGAGAGAATTCATTCCCCAATGTTTCATCATTTAAATGTTCATATCTAAGAATCTTGACAACAACATGCTCACCAAGGTACTCTCCATGGAATCTTTCAACAAACAAAATAACTGATATTAAGATACTTGTAAGAATTAGGAATGCAATTGGAAAAAAACAGTGTACACGTACAAATCACCACATGATCCAGATGCAATCTTTTCTCCAATCTTCAATGATGCTCTGTCTATTTCTGCATCTCCAAAAGTTGGTCTGCTGCAAATCGAGATAGAAACTGACAGGTAAGGATCAGAACATAAATTTAAGTCAAAAACCATAAAGAATGTCAATGAGGCAATACATCGAACACATTATGTGCACTTACAAACCACAAATGGAATCATCAACAAAGAAATAGAAAGAAAGGAAAGGAGGATTAATATCAGATAATGAGAGACAATGAAGATTTGGAAGCGAATTAAAAAAACACTAGATGAAGGCCAAATGAAGAACTAGAAAACCATAACAAAAAAATCCACAGAAAATTGGATTGAAAAAGAGATGAAGAGAATGATCAATTACTTGAGGAAATCTTGTACCTTCTTAACTAAATTTACAATGAGGAAGGCGTGATTGGGAAGACGATATGATGCTCTTGTGGTCGCAGTGAGGAGGAGAGAAGTGGCAGCATAGGGAAGTGTCGAACAGGTGAAAAAGATGGAATCGTGCTCTGCTGATTTAAAGAGGAAAAAGTGCTTCCCTCTCATTTATTTTCATACGTGCGCAAGCAGCGATTGGAGGAACTTGCGATATATACATATTTGATTGAACTTCCGATAAAAACAAGCAGCGATTGGAAGAACTTGTGTATTCAAAATCTTATGGGAAAGTACTTGATTGTATATTTAAAAAATAAAATGACTTTTAACAAAAATTTGGAAAGACAAACTACCCAAATCAGAAAAAACTCTTACACAAATCAAACCATGTGATCTTGATAGAAAAATAAAAACTGAATGCAAATTAGGGCTCACATAATCAAATCTCGAAAATGAAATCACCTTAAATAAAATGGTGGAGCAGGTATCCTTAGAGGATTTGAGTTTAGGTAACCGACGTTTGTCTCGGGGAAGGGACAAGAATCGGTAAGTGCCAAAGGGATATAGGAACAGAAGGAGGCGAGATCTAGGGTTCGAGTATGAGATGTAGAATGGTGGAGTTTCTGTTGAGTCGTGGTCGCCATAGAGATGTAGAATGGAAGGAGGCAAGATCTAGGGTTTGAGTATGAGAAAGAATTATTATAGAGTCGCCGATGATTGGATATCATCAATCGTACTCCAGACTCTCAGATCCTTGGGTTCGATGGTGAAGGTGCCAACTTAGGATTTGCAAAGAGAAGGGAAGGATAGAGTGATCGGGCGGTGGAGATGTAGAAGAAAGAACGTGCAGTAGAGGAAGGCGGGGCAAGTTCTTGAAAAAAGCCCTAAAAAGGGGAGGCGGGGTTTTTAAGTAATTGGGATTTCATTTTTCCCTCCGGATGGAACGCGCGGCTATTAAAATTTATAAAGTGACAGCCTTAGACGACACACATTTTATTATAGGTGCCCTCCGTGTTTTTTTTAGACACTAATTCCAGGGCACGCAAAAATGCGTGTTTTAAATCCTTTATATTTTAAGAGAGATAACATTATTTTTAGGGCACCCACAAATGCGCGTCCTCTATCAGCGAGTGTCATTATTTGTGCGTCATTAAAGGGCTTTTTTCTAGTAGTGTTTGTTTACTATGTGCATTGGTTTGATACTCAACGTGGAGTCAACCCCGGAAATGTTTCCGCCTTCGGTTTTCGGGGTGTGACAGATTGGTATCAGAGCCCTTGTTTATAGTGAACTAAGTATAACAAACCTTACATGGTATAAAACTATAAACACTAAGGGGCCTAAGTGCTCTGAACTAAAAGTATCCTTCAAAATATAAGTATTTTCGAAAGTATATAAGTATATCGAACCGTCGAGATCCGTAACTACAAGTAGAACAAAACATAAGAAAATGGGTGTTGTGTACTGCGGTTAAACCTGGGTAGTTATGTAGTCGTGTCTAGGATCAATATAGCCTGGCCAACTATATTCATTCGAGACGCGACCAACATGTGCTTGGGAGTGACTGTGGTGTGCAACATGCCTAAAACTTACCCAGATGCCACAAACACCGAGCCAGTGTCGTAAGCAAACCATGAAATACTATGGGAGTATTTCTCGAGCCAATCCTTGTTAGAAATCCTCAGTCGAGTGTTGTTTCCCTGATCATTTCTCAAGCGATAAATCATCTGTTTTGCTAACTCTTTCCTGCTTTATCGCTTATTTGAAATATATATCTGTCACACCTCTTGATTCAATCCAGAGGACTTACCATCCTCTCTTTTCCTAATCTTATTAGATCAAGATGCCTCCAAGAAAGAGACCCAGCGCAAAGAACAACAACAATCCTCCTCCGCCACCACCTCCTCCTCAATTTGATCTTGCATCGCTTCAGGCAGTTCTTACTGCCGCAATGGTAGCCGCCATGTCACAAAGAAACCCCAATAGTTCAGGAGGTGGTCCCCAGCCCCAGAACCAAGAAGATAGTCAGGGACACCAAAGAGGGGGTTCCTACAAAGATTTCATGAACGCAAAACCTACATCCTTTGATGGCACTAGAGGTGTCATTTCCCTCACCCGATGGTTCGAGAAGATCGAATCCATCTTTGAAATTTGTGCCTGCTCAGAATCTGATAAGGTGAAGTTTGCTGCCTGCACCTTTATCGACAAAGCCCTGACTTGGTGGAACGGCCGAGTCAAATCCCTAACTTTACCCGTAGCTAATGCCATGGGTTGGGAAGCCATGAAGGAACTTCTGCTGGCTGAGTACTACCCTCGGGGCGAAATGCAGAAGTTAGAACACGAACTCTAGAACTTGAAGATGAAGGGTTCCGATATTGTCTCTTACACTTCCAGGTTCGATGACCTGGCACTACTCTGTTCGGGAATGGTTGCCCCGGAGAGCAAAAAGATAGAAGATTATTCCATTATTTTTAGAAGATTATTGACTCGGTGTAGCAGATTATGGGTCCCAATTGTTAGTGGGTTTAGATAAACATTATTGGAGGAAGATCACAATTCGAAATTTTTGATCCATCCAGGGGCCACAAAGATGTGTAGATACATGAGATTGAGCTACTAGTAGTCCCTCATGAAAATAGAGATAGCATGGTATGTGGAGTGGTGCTTGACTTGCTGGAAAATCAAGGCTGAACTTTAGAGACTCCATGAAAAGATGCATCCTTTATCTATTCCCGCATGGAAATAGGATGAAATCACCATGGACTTTATCATAAAGTTGCCAATGATCGAACGTGGAGTTGATTCTATTTAGGTTATTATTGATAGATTGACCAAGAGTGCTTATTTCATCCCTATTTCTAAGAGCATTTTCGCTGAAAAGTTGGATGAAGTCTACATCAAGGAGCTAATATTTCAACACGGGGTTTCAGTTTTAGTGGTTTTCAATCGCAATGTTCGTTTCAGCTCCGGGTTTTGGAGGAGGTTTCATAAGGAGTTAGGTACTTAGTTACTTTTCAGCTCCGCATACCACCCTCAGACTAACGAAAAGAGTGAGCAGACTATTTAGACAATCGAGGATATACTAATGGCATGTGCTTTAGACTTTAGTGAGAGCTAGGATACTTCTCTTCAATTAGACGAGTTCTCATAAAACAACAGTTATCAGGCCTGGATTGATCAACCTCCCTTCGAGATGATTTACGGAAGTAAATGTCGGACCCCGGTTTGTTGGCATGAGGTCGAGCATCGATTTATGGGGAGTAATAACATAGTACACAGGACCACTGAGTTAATAAAACAGGTGCATGATCGGTTGTAGACCGTGCAAAGTCACTAGAAGAGTTATGCTGACTGTCGGCATTCAGACCTCGAGTTTGAGGTCAGATATTACGTGTTTCTAAAGGTGTCACCTTGGAAAGGTTTCATTTGATTCTGTAAGAGGAGAAAATTGGGCCCAAGTATGTTGTTCCTTTCACAATTGTCAATCGGGTAGGGAAGCTTGTGTTGGCTTAGGTGTATAAGCCCATAACTGTAATCGGTATGTACTTGAACCGAGAGTAGCATGGTCCATTTGGGTTGCATTCACCAAGACAATCAGATAGGGTGGATACTTGAGAAAGAGGTTATTTATGATTTACTAATATATTATAAGTATAATATATTAATTGAGAAATCATAGTATTTAATTAGTATTGATCAATAATTAATTTGGAATTAATTTAATGATCAAAAGAGACTAATTAAATTAGCGGGGACAAATTATGTAAATTAGTGATACATATGGTTTGGACTTTTGATCCATGATGGACTAAGTTTATGTAAGAGTCCATGAAGAGTTAGTCGACATGGGTTATGGATCATAAGCCTATATGTATGGATTAGGGTTTACACATGACCATTGGTATCCTACACTATATAAATGTTACCCCTTATCAAAAATCGGTTGACCTAAGTATTTTAATAGAATCATAACTGATTTTGTGTCTCCAAACGTCTCTCTCAAGTCCTCCTTTGTTCATGGTGTCTTGTGAACCATTTGAGGCATCACACTTGGTGTCCTAAGTTCTTAAAGGCCAAATACATCAAGCTACAACAAAGAGGTAGTCATCTAATCTACTTTTATGATTCAAGTATCAAGTTGTATGCTAGTTGTAGGCTTCATGCTTTGGATATTTTATTACCTATATAACTGGAGAAAACTTAGATCCAAAGCATTAGGGTTGTATGTGCACCATAGTGATGTTAGAGTACATAAAATCTAACAACTTGAAGATCGGTTGGATTTGCCTGATGAACTTAGTTAGATCCACCACACTTTCAATGTCCCTTAGCTATGGAACTGCTTAGTTGATGATTCCACATTGGTACCCTTGGATGAAATTCAGTTTGATGAGTGCCTGGACTATGTGGAGAGCCCGGTGGCAATTCTCATCATGAAGACGATGACCTTGCGCAACAATGTGGTGGGTTTGGTAAAGGTGCAACAACACCAGAAGGGTTCGAAGTGGACATGGGGACCTGGGGGGAGATGAGGGATCATTACCTAGAGTTATTTGCATCGGTAGATTTCAAGGATGAAGACCGAATCAAGTGGATGAGAGTTGTAACATTCAGAATTCAGGTATAATTAATTCAAAAATTAATTTTGAGTTTTTTGGCCACGATGTAGGATAGGTGCCCCCATGACGTGACATGGCCAAAGTGATTGTGGATCATTTTTATGACCTACGACGTGGTGAATATGATGGGTTTTGGTCCTAAGAACATCATATGTGCTCATACAAACCCTAAAGCTTGGATCTAGGTTTCTCTATTGTATATGCAAGTTATCCAAGACTATAAACCCTAATTCTAGCATTCAAATAATCATATTAACATGAGAATAAGTTTATAATGTTACCTTGATTGTTATGTAGCAATAACAATCACAAATCTCCTTGTATTGACTTTAGAAAGCTTAGAGTCACAATTGTCACTCCTCTAATGGTTCACAAACACCATAAGCAAGAGGATGAAGAGGAGAGAGGATGGAGGCTGCCTAAAACCATGTGAAACCCTAACACAAATCTTAGCCACGTTTTTTGAGCCTTAAGGGGTCTTTATATAGTTGGGCTATTAGGGTTATCTAACAAGGAAACCCTAATTTGGATGCTTAAGCCCTAAGCAACCCATGGAGCCCTTTCTTTAAGTCTTGGACGATTTTATATGGGCTTCCCCATAGAATTCATCCACCTTATAATATAAGGCAATCCTTGGCCCAAATTGCAATTATCTTATAATTACAATTCCAGTCCCTTAAGTTTAATTAATCTCTTTTAGTCACAAAACTAATTACTAATTAATTATTGACTAATATTAATTAAACAATATGATTTCTCCTTTAATATATTATTCTCATAATACGTTAATAAATCATATTTAATCCTTTCTCTCCATAATTCATCCTATCAAGTTGCTTTGGTGAAGGCAACCCAAAAGGACCATGCACCATCGGGTCAAGTACATACCAAAATAGTTATGGACTTAGACACTAATCCAACAGTCTCCCACTTGGATAAGTCTAATAACTATTCTATGTATGACTTCAGATCCTGATCTGCAATCGTAGCTTTCCAAAGCCGCTGTCAACTCTGATCCTATCAGATA